TGATTTGGTGTCAAAAAATTATAAGATTCAAACCCAGAATTCCAATGATGTTTCGAATAATAGAGGAGGTGTCATTGAAGATATAATAAATTAGAAGAAATGTTACTAAAATCTTGCCTTAAATTAATTAATCCAAGAAGATGCCCATTTTTAGCAACTTCGCTTACTTTTTAAGCAGAAATTAATGCTGTTTTGTCGACTGAAAACTCGGCACCACCACCCTTAAAAAAAATGAAATACCATTTGTATCCAATTGGATGACCTAATATGAAGATTTAATTTACAATAAATTAAAAGTAGACTTAATCTAACATCAAAACTCAAACGAATTTAAAATAAATTAAGTCCTTAATTATATCCTGAACTAAATCTCTTTCTAAAAAAAATTATTTGAAATAGACCAGCAAAGTCGGTCATCGTTTCAAATGTCAAAGTCATTGTACGATTAAAGTTTCATCGTAACACGTTGGATTTTGGGGGCAATGAAAGCACCTGGACCTGATAGATTGTCAGGTATTTTCTATCAGAAGTACTGACATATATTAGGAAAGAATATTTACGATGCAATTCTGTCTTTTTTTCGCTCTGGGTTTATGTTAAGAGAGCTTAATGAAACTAATGTAATACTAATCCCAAAAGTGCCAAATCCTGAGGAGGTTGGAGAGTTTAGACCTATTAGCTGTTCCAACTTTGTATACAAGATAATTTCTAAGTTGTTAGCATCCAGGCTCCAACCTTTTATGGACCAACTAATTTCTCAAAATTAGAGTGCATTTGTGGGGGGAAGGCAGATACAAGATAATGTCATAATAGCTCAAATGCATTCTATGAGGCAAAGAATAAGAACAAAGAGGTATCAAATGGCTTTAAAACTGGATATGACTAAAGCTGATGATAGAGTGGAGTGGGACTTTTTTAAGTTCTTTGATGAATCAAATGGGGTTTGACCCTAAGTGGGTTAAGTTAGTTATGCAGTGTGTTTCTACAGTTAGGTACAATATTGTGGTGAATGGGGAAAAAGTAACTCAAATAGGGCCATCTAGGGGAATTAGGCAAGGGAACCCTTTATTTCCTTACTGTTCATTCTGATAACTAAAAGCTTGACCATGCTAATGAATAAGGTAGTGGAAGATGGGCTTTTGCAGGGGATCAAGCTGAGTAGATCCATGTGTCTCCCACTTACTTTTTGCTGAAGATTCCATTTTCTTTTCTACGGCAAGCAAGTCACAATGTCAAGTGTTGCTGAATGAGTTACATAAGTATTGCTATGCTGCATGACAAAGGATTAGTTTAAACAAGTCAGGAGTTATTTTTAGTAAGAATACTCCATTGCAAAGGCAACTTGAGTTAGCTGAGTTTTTGAGGATGCCATTGCTGCACTCATCTGGAAAGTATCTGGGGTTGCCAACTGAATGGTGGAGATCAAAGAAGCAAACTCTTGGATGGATAAAAGACACAATTCTAAGCAAGATGGTTGGGTGGAAAGAAAAAATGTTGAATCATGCTGGGAGAGAGATTCTTATTAAAGCAGGGGTACAGGCAATTCGAACTATGCAATGTCAATCTTTAAATTTTCAAAGTCTTTATGTCAAGAAATTACGGCTAGAATGAGAAGTTTTTGGTGGAGTAAGTCTACAGGGGAAAAGGGGATTCACTGGACAAAGTGGGATCAAATAACTAAAAGAAAGCAGGATGGAGGGCTGGGGTTTAGGGACCTTGAGCAGTCCAATGTTGCAATGTTAGCGAAGCAGCATGGAGGCTCATGAATAATCCAGAGGTTCTGTGCGCTAAAATCTTGAAGGCAAAGTACTTCCCTAACCAATATTTTTGGACTGTGTCCCCCAAGAAATCAAGCTCGTGGATTTGGAATAGTTTGCTAGATGGGAGGGAGTTGATTACAGAAGGACATATACGGCAGATAGGAGATGGCAATCAAGTTAAGTGTTGGGAGGATGTGTGGATTCCTGGGCACAAAGCTATTCCCAACATTCAACAAAGCCACATACAATTAGTCCAAGAACTTATCGACCCGACAACTAGAAGATGGAAGGTTGAGGAGGTGCAGATTAATTTTTCACAGATATAACCCTTAGAGATACTGGCTATCCCTCTTAGTGAAACACCTCGGGTTGATGAAATCAAATGGAAGTTTACAAGCAATGGAGTATATACTATTAAAAGTGGGCATCATATGCAAGCACAAAGAGCTCACGCACCTCAGGCCAGAGACACTGCCTCCTCATCTTATCAAGCTCCAGAAGAGCGTAAGGTTCACCCCAAAATACAAGCATTTATGTGGAAAGTTGCAAATAGAGCATTGACAACTAAATGGGAGCTATGGAGGAGAAAGCTGTCAAATTCACCAACTTGCCCCATATGTGGAGAGGAAGAAGAGACCACCGAACACTTGCTATTACTTTGTCTATGCGTGCAAAAGATGTGGAGGAATTGCCCTTTAAGCATTAAGATAAACATGTATGGTATAAGTAGATTTAAAAATTGGTTTATTAGGCAGCTACAATCCAGCAAGGTGTGTGGTGAAGAAGAATAGGAGGATCAAACTCTACTAATATACCTATGTTGGTTCACATGGAAGTCCAGAAATTATTGGGTTTTCAACCATAAATAGCCAATGCAGTAAATCTATTATCACAAATGCTGTAACAGCGGTGAAAGAATTGAACAATTGCAAGGTTGTGCCTATAAAGGGTGGGAACTCCTCCGGTGAGCCTGAAATGGCCCGCAATTGCCTCCTTGGGGGGTTTTGAAGATTAATTGTGATGGAGCTTGGGTGGAAAGGACAAAGGAGGGAGCTTATGCTATTGTAGTTCGAGATTGTGAAGGTAGCGTGGTCATGGCGAAGGTTGAAATTGTGGTTACAGCTTTTGTCTTAATGACATAGGCTTATGCAGTCAGGCAAGCGTGCAAGACTGCTGTGAAACAGATCTATGATGCAATCATTGTTGAATCTAACTCAAAGCTCATAGATTCTCCCAATGGGAACAATGGAGATACTTTGAAGGAGATTGTAGCATTACAAAAGGACATATGAAGCTATACTCAATTACTCTCAAGTGAAGTTTCAGGCAACACGAAGGACCCAGAACAAGGTTGCCCATATGCTTGCAGTCTATATTAGAAGTGAGAAACTTAATATACAAGGGAAGGAGTGGCTCCCTCATTCTATGATGCATATTGTTAGGTTGGAGGTTAGAAGAGAAGTATAGGATGAGTGAATCGAACTGTAAAGGGTTTTATGTTTCTTATTTATAGAATTTTAAATTTCTTGACCAAAAAAAAAAAAACATATTGGATGAGTATAGGCGCATCTACTAACTTTTTATGTTATCAAATTCTATAAGTCAAATTATGTTTTGGTAAAATAATAATTATTGGATGTTAATAGGATCAGTGATTGGGTGATCTCTTTTTATATTAATCGAACACGTGCTTGTTGTTTTAATAGAGAATGACTTGACATTTCACTTTTTATTATACGATTGTCATAGATTACTCATTAGCTTTACGTATAAATTATATTTTTACAGAACTATTTCTTATATAATCCTTTGATGAACACTGATTATTGTGATTCCAAAGAAAAATAAGTCAAATAAGAGTTTGGTCAAAACCAAAAATACTAGATATTTCATATAATTCTTTATCCTACTCATATAAGAAAATTATATGAAAAAGAGTTTTGTCGAAACTAATAAGAAGACTAGATATTTCATATAATTCTTTTGTCTTACCCGTAATGTAAAGGTCTGAAAGAAGAAAATTTCGTGAGATAGAAATTTCGTCGAAACCAACAAGAGTGGACATTTCATGTATGTCTTTGTCCTGCGCTTAATATAGGGGTCCCAAAGAAGAAATAATGTCAGATGAGAGTTTTGTAGTTTTACTAAACTTTTGCATCCGAGTCCGAAATGCAAATCATGAGCCCCAAAAATCAATCCAAATAAGTAGATTTATTAATGGATTGAATTTTGATTTAAGTTTGAATCCGATTAATCGGATATGAATTAATATTTTTTATCGATAATTCGAACTCGAATCTAAACCCAAATCCAAACTCAAACCTGAATTCTTATATTTCACAGATTTTGATTTTGGATTTAGATATACATATATTCAATTCAATATGAATTATTTATATATTTTTTTAAAAATTAAGTGATTATTTAAAAAAAAATTAGTTGAAAATTAGATAAATTTGGTTATTTGGATTGGTTCAAGTCAGATTCCGGATTGTTATGAATTTGAATATAGATTACGAAAATAAAATTCATTTGAAATTAAATTTGGATTAATCAAAATCCGATCCAAATCACAAGCCTACCAATAAGGGATAAATCAATGGATCGGATTATTTGGCTAAATCCAACTCTCTTATCCAACCCAAATCCAAGATCCATGTATGGTCTATATGGAACTGGATTTCAATCCATTCCTTTCGCTCGGGAAACCAAGAAAGCTTTATTGGGCCGAATCGCATAATTAGATTCAAGCTATCCAGGCTTAAACGTCGTGACCCAATCCAAATTAGCCCGCTCTAATGTAGCGCGGTATTCGATATATTTTAGTGATACAGTTACACTTTAACCCCAAAACTATAATAGTTTTTCACATTACCCTTAAACTATCATATTTTTCATATTATACTTTAACTAAATAAGTAATTTCACACTACCCTAATTATTAACGTTCGTTATCAATTTTATGGAAATATATTTCATTTTATCAAGTATATTTTTGTTTTATTTTATCCTAGCTAGTCGGAAATTTTTTATCAAAAAATATTACAGAAGTTTGTGTTGGGATAATTTGCACTAACTCAATTTGTTGAGAAAGTGATTTAAAATATTTAATAGTTTAATTTATAAAATGAAATCAAATTCATAGTTGAGGGGTCAAAGTGTACTTTTTCCCAGCAATATGTATACACTATACATCCTCTTCTTCTTCACTTGTCGTCATTGCTTCCGATTCCAACTCCGATGGCTCTCCTCCATTCTTGCTGCTGCTATTCAACTCCACCGTCGCTGCCTTCTCTTCTCTCTTTCCGAAATTCGAAATTTTATCACCAATTATTTACCGTCTCTGCCATCCGCCCTCAAAGTCGCCGTTTTCCCCGAAAATCCTTGTTTCAGAGGTTGGAAGCGACTCTCACCGTCGAACCTTCGGCGAATTCCTGCACCGAGCGCGGCGTAGAGTCTCCGAAACTTCTATTGGAGGTCAAAGAACTTTCCGCCGTGATCTCGGAATCCAAAGAGACGATTCTTAATGGCGTAAACCTCGCCGTCTACGAAGGAGAGGTATCAATCCCATTTTCTTATCTTTATTCAGTCCCGACGAGTATAGGTGCGTGTAAGCAATTGCTTCAGTAATTAAGTTAAGAAATCGAGCAATCTCGATGATTAGCAGTGTGTATCACGAGTTCCTTATACCTCCGTAACTAACAGAGTCAGAGTGTTGAATAGATTGCGATTTTTCTTAATCAAATCAAACCATATCTTATGTCCTAATCATTTGTGATCGGTTATACGAGTCTGTATTATTTATGGTCGGTTATACTTGTCTGCCTTCATCATTCATTTCGGTGGTGCGCATATCTTTTCTTATTATTTTGTTTATTGTTAATTTAGGTCTATTCCTGCTCTTACTACCATTAAAAGAAATTTTATCATTTTTTCTAATTGATGCCTCTATCGGCCTATTGAATATGACCGAACCAACTTAATTTATTCCATTTCAACTTGTTCTCATTCGGAGCTATTCCTATTATTTTTGGTCATTTCATATTCTATCCTTTCTAATTTTTCCACACATTTACCTTAACATTTTCTTTTCTGCCACACTCGTTTTGTCACTATGTTTCTTTAATCAGTGGATGTGAATTTTAACAAAAACCATATTGAATTCATTGCACCGTCAGCTAATGGAAACTTAGCAAGTCATGTTAGTACCAAAGATAAAACTTATCAATTCATGATTACTTACCATTGAATTGTATCTCTAATTCTGTTCTGTTCTGTTCCTATTTGACTAGGTTCATGCTGTAATGGGGAAGAATGGTTCTGGGAAGAGCACTTTTGCAAAGGTTAGTGCTTGTGCTCCGTGAAGCTATGAATGTTATGGTTGAAACCGTACTCACTCCTTTTTCCCCCTCCCACAAATATGACTGTTTGTGAAAAGATGAATAAAATGAAGTTTATCAGTTTTTGAGAAATGTGAAACATGTCTTCGCTATGGATTGCAATTTTTGGATCACTATGCAATGTCTATTTTCCATTCTTTGCTCTACAGAACAGTTTTTTCCTTTTTCCAAATGGCTTTAAGACAGTCTAACTAAGAAAGTTTTGGCAATTGGTGTTTGGGTTTGTTTAAGACAAGTGTTTATTGACCTAAATTGATGTCCTGTCTTTGCCAAGCTCTTAGTAGGAACTTAATTGTTGTAGGTCCTTGTCGGTCATCCAGATTATGAGGTTACAGGAGGCAGTGCCATGTATAAAGGTGAGAACTTGCTTGGAATGGAACCTGAGGAAAGATCTGTCGCTGGGCTCTTTTTGAGCTTTCAATCCCCAATTGAAATCCCTGGAGTGAGTAATATAGACTTTCTGAACATGGCATACAATGCTCGAAGAAGAAAACTTGGTCTGCCGGAGCTTGAACCACTTGAGGTACATTATTGTTTGCAACTCTAAATGACATCTTCTTGTGGGTTAGACATCTCTATACTATTCTCCTCTATCTAGGAAAAAGTTTGGGAGATAGAGAAG